ATATATATATATCCTGCATAGTAACAGCTACCCAGTTCCAAAAGAAGCTGCTAATCAGGCAAAGCAGGCACTGCTGTTCTGGTATTGGGAATGGCTCTCACTTGAACTTTTTTCTCTTCAGAAAAATGAAAACAATGCCATTTACAGAATGAAAAGGACCAATATTAATGAGCACTACATACTATGTACCAAGTACTATGCTAGGATTTCTTTTCCAAACTACATCTCACATAATCCTTTCAACCTTAGGAAGCTTAGCAAAGTTAAGGAATATCCCTAAAGTATTATAGAAAATCCCTCAAGAATTAAGTTAGGACTACATATAGTGCTTCCTGTAAGGACACCAAAGCTCATGATCTATTATACCACATTCCCCATAGAAACATCTATTTAAGTTTATAATATGCTGATGGGAAAATGACATTTACTTTATAGACTATCTTGTTATAAAAATTTATAAAAATGTAGTTTTTTTGAAAAGTAAAATTCTTTAATCCCCTTCATCTTCCAACAGCTTTATAAACCATAATACTAATACAATTTTAGTTAGCAATTTGAGACAGTTAATTTGATATATAATACAACAGGTAAAAGAAAAACATATAGCATTCAGGTGATAATAATAAAGTATACAGGCACTATCCATCAGGAGGTAGTTTTACCTTTCCCTTTAATGTTATGAAACCTTATTTTATCAAGCAAGATAAAGGAGTTGAGTAAAAAAGAAATGTATCAACTGGATGTAGTGCTTCAGGCCTGTAATCCCAGCACTCTAGGAGGCTGAGACAGGAGGAGGATCACCAGATGGAGCCCAACCTAAACATTGAGCAACTCAGCAAGATCCTGTCTCAAAAGTCAATCAAGCAAGAAAGCAAGCAATGGGCTGGAGATGTAGCTCAATGTGAAGGGCCTGGGTTCAGTCCCCAGTACTCGGGGGAGAGGGAGAGAAAAGAAAAGGGATCTCATTTTCAGTGTCTTAGTATTAGGAGTAAATCAATTAGCAGTGAGTCTCCACTGTCAATATAGGGGTTCCATACATGACAACACAGTAAGAAATAGAGCCTTGTTTTAACACAAAAGTGAAGGGAAAATACTGTAAGAGGGTGGACCTGATCATGGGTGGCAATAGTACAATATACGGCTTGCTTACTTGGATGACACTTTGAAACTAATTTAGTTACTTCTATTTAGCTTACCGTGAACAATCTACTAAAATTGGTTAGCAGTAGTCAAGTTATACTATAAGAGGAAAAATTTATCTACTACCTTCATTATAAATTAATGATGGACGAGTACAGATAAGATAGAGAGGGACTTCTGGAAGATGAGAGCAGTAAGCAGCAACAAATCAGCCTCTCCAAGATTTGGAATCTAGACACTAAAATAGCAGGGGAAAAAAAGAAAGAGGAAGGTGGATCTCTGGAACCCAGGAAGGATCTCATGGGAAAACTGGAGCCTACAGGAAAATTGAAGAGACAGCACACAATGAAGAAGAAGGAAAGGGCAACTTGCATGTTCTTTCCAGCTCCCAGTTTGTGTGTGGCTCACGAGGAAGAACAAATTTACAGACATAGTGAAGGCAGGTGACTCCAGAGGTCTTCAGGGAGAAACACACCAGTAGAACCGACCAGTGGATTGTGTGATGAGTGACTCCAGCCCAAGTACCTGCCATATCCCCTGGAGAGCGTACTTTGTTGGACGTCATTTTAGGGAGGGTCCGACTGAACCCAGGACTCAGCAGCCATGGGTTGGCTTTATCTCAGAGCTCTGTGTTATATTCCTACACCAACTGGGTAAGGGACAGCCATGGCAGACATCTGTGGTCAGGAAGCCATGGTTAGGCAGGCAAGAGACACCCCAGGGTAATAAGCTAAATGACTCAGGCTATACCCCACATCCAGAATTAGCCTAAACCCTAATTCTACTGGCAGCTTGCTGACGATTATCCAGCATGGACCTGGGCTCTGACTGCCTTCTTTGTCTACCACTGAGAGCAGGGACCCGTCTTGAACACGGCCACAAAATAGCAGACTCAGGGAGATAACCACAGGCTTGAAGTTACAGAGAAATTTCCTCCTCCTCTCCCCCTCCTCCCCTTCCTGCTCCTCCTTCTCTTTTTTCTTTTTCTTTTTGTTGTTTCATTTGTGTTTCTTAAAAACTATTTCTGCTTTATGTGAGTGCGAGCACTGTTTTTAGTTTTGTTCTCTTCTTTCTCCTTCTTCTCTTCCCTCCTGTATTCTTCAACAGTTTCCTGGGACTTGGGGAATCTTCCTTTGTCTTTCAGCCTTGCTTCTAATCTCTTTTTTCTTTTATTTCTTTATTTTTCCCTGTCCTACTTTTTAAATTTTCTTCCCTTACTTATCTTTTACTTTCACTCCTTTCTCCCCTTTTTTCTCCCCTTTTTCTTTTACCTTCTATTTCCTGTCAGTTTTTTGTCCTACCTTTACTTAATTCTACAGACATCTTTATACTTCCCAATAAGATCCTTTGTACCACTCTCGTGCTTCCTTTTTATATCACAGAGTTCAATGTTTCAGCATTTTCCTTTTGTATCCCCCGTTTCTAAATCTTAAATCTTTAATAGTACAGCCATAAAACTTTGTTAATCTTTTGATAGTAACTCTGTATAATCACTGTTAGATTCTTTTTTTACCATTAGCAGAAATATAAATGCAGTACATATTAGCTGTAAGTCAATCTGAATAAAAGCAGAAGTTGTTATCCTAATTCAGACAAAGGGGATTTCAAGCTAAGACTGATCAGAAGAGACAAAGGAGGTCACTAATGTTGGTTAAGGGAACAATTCAAAGTAAGAGTTAACAATTATAAACATATGCACCAAATACTGGTGTACCCAACTTCATAAAACAAACACTAATGTACATAAAATATCAGATAAATGTCAATACAATTGCAATGGGTGACCTTAATACTCCACTGTCACAAATGGACAGATTAACTAGACAAAAAAATAAACAAAGAAATATGAGTTGACTCTAACCTTCAAACAAATGGACTTAACAGATATCTAAAGAGTGTTCTATCCAACAACTGTATATACATTCTTCTCAGCAGAACTTTCTCCGAAAAAGACCACATATTAACCAATAAAACAAGTTTAAGAAAATGCAAAAAATTCAAAATTATCCCATGCATATTATCAGACCACAGTGTCCTGAAACTAGAAATCAACGGCAAAAGAAAGAACAGAAACTATGCAAACACACAGAAATTAAATAATAACCTTTTGAATAATCAATAACTCATAGATTACAGAAAAATTAGTTTCTACACTCAAACGATAATGCCAGCATGATACACCAGAAGTGGGAAGTTCATAGCAGTGAATTCACACATCAGGAAAACAGAATAAGCTCAAATAAATATATATAAAGTATGAAATAAAATATCAGAGACAAATAAAGACAGAGAGGGAAAAAACGATAGGGTAATCCAGTGCAGGCTGTGTCTAAAAGTGTACCTTGACTGAGGACAATTATCTCACATGTTTTATATGTTCTTTGGCCTAGTAGTCTGGTTTTCAATCTGTATATATGATAATTCACTTTATAGGGTTTTATAAATAAATGAATCTGATCCTGGCAAAATAAAAGGGGGAGGGAAAGGGGAAAAAGAATTGGAATATGTTATATATGTACCAATTCCCTACAGTGAATGAAATCATTATGTCCTAAAAAAAAAAAAAAAAAAAGAAGAAGGTAGGGACCAGCAGTTGATACCACTATTTCTTGTTCATTGACCTGCTCCTAATAAACATACCTCATATTTAAAAGTCTGAGCATGTGGAAGTTTAATCTGATCAGTTCATGAGCACTGATTCAGGAAGATTAAGAAAAGGAACTCCCCTTGCCTTTATTTCTATAGCTAAGCTTAGAGGTCATCTTGAAGTAGGTAAAACAGACAAAAATTAAAAGGCATTCATTTCTAAATGGCTTTCTGCTTAAATCCCAAATCTCAAACCGTATGTTCCCTAACATACCTAAAAATAAATTGAGGATTCTATGGGGTAAAGCTTGAGAATCACTGATTTAAACAATAGAAAAAGCATTCTGAGCTTAAAAAAAAAGTCAACGAAGAAATATCTGAGATAGTTCAAGAGCACATGCCAATAAGAAACTTTCTAATTTCTTCAGTGACTATGGTGGAATGAACCATGAATTAATCTAAATGTGATTACATTCAACATAAGCCTTTTTTTACTGGAGAACAATCTTATTATTATTAACTAATCTTATTTTAGTTATCTGTAATATGTGAATATACCTTCTCTATCTCAAAGATTGATTCTAAATTAAGGAGTATAGTAAATGGAGAAGAAACAGAAAAAAAATATATATTTCTTTGTACCAGGGATTGAACTTGGGACCTTGGGCTTGCAAGGCAGGCAGTGGCTAAATCCCTGGCCCATGAAACAGAAAATATAAAATATTATTGTCAGGCATTATTACTACTCAGGGTAGAATCTTTTCAGAGAGATAAACAAAGATGTATATTATAGGTATCAGATAACTAAAACTGGCACTAACCTACAAGAAACTAACACTTTTCTCCAGGAAAAACATCAGAGATATGTGTTCTCTATAAATTACTTTCTTCTGCAGAGGAATAAAATCCCATAATCATACAATTCTTTTGACCTTTGTTTCACTACCCAGAATTATGTCATTCTAAATGAACAGCAAAAAGATGCGTGCAGAGACCAACTAGTGTTATTACTTTATTTAATTTTTACTAAATTTGGTTTTAGTAAAAGTGGATTGAAAGTTTTTAAAATATTTAAAATAGATGAAACAGAGCTCTTGGAAAAGTTTCCAAAATTACACGAAAGGGATTATCCTTAGGACTGGCACATCAAGAGCTTTGGCTTCTGCTGGCATTGCCATTCCTATATTCAGTATATATTTTAAATACATCATAATGGAAGAGATCTCATCAGTAGGATACATGTATCTTTCAAGTAGTTTTTAATGATAAAATTTTACCAAAAGATCTATCTCTATATACCTTTTATTCACAGGATAATAAAACTCTTTAGTCTGGCATTTAAAAAACTTCCATAACCAGCAACTACCTATTATGGACTGAATGTGTCCTCCCCAAATTAATACAGTGAGCCCCTAACCACTGGTATGGCTCTATTTGGAGATGAGACCTTTGAAAAATAAAGTTTAAATGAGATCATGGCATGGAGACTAGAGTGGACAGGATTAGGGTTTATAAGAGAGCCAGTGAGCTCTCTCGAATACACACACACAACATCAAAGTCATGTGAGCACACAGTGAGAAAGCAGCTGTTTGCATCCTAATACCAGCCATGTTGATCAACACCAGCCATGTTGACATCTTGATCTTGGACTTTCCAGGACTGAGAAAACAGCTTCTATTGTTTAAGCCACCCAATTTGGGTATTTTGTTACAGAAGTTTGAGCATATGAATATACAATCTCTGCTACTAACCGTTCCCTAATGCCTCTTACTTCAGAAAGTGTGCTTTGTTGAATTCTACTAAACATGAAACATTTCCCTGAACATAAAATCAGATTCATTAAAAAGTGCTTTATATGAAGTATTATTTGCAATCACTTGTAGTCAGGTTGCCTTTTAAAAATTATGCTCACCCTTGAAGAGTAATGTACTCTTGGGAGGTTTCAGCCCAACAGCCACTCAGCATTGCAGCAAAGTAAGTAGATCTGGCACTTAAAATGGCCCTAAATGAAGAAAACACAAGTAAATATGTTATGCAAAATATGATTTTAATGAACTGTTCATCTTTACCTCTTAAAACATAAAAATCTATTTGTCTTGTTTATTTTCACTGGTTGAATTATTGTAACAAAATACTATAATAATCCAACCAGTGAAAATAAAATGTTATAATAATCTAACCAGTGAAAATAAAATACTATGCCTAAGTATTTTGTTTGTTGAAAACATTAATTCAAATGTCCTTATTTTTTCTGAGGTCTCTGTAATTTTAATAATAACAATTAAAACTATTTCTATTACTAAGAGACTAATATATCACAAATGGAAAAATAAAGACCAAAGATGTTACTTAACATGTTGAGGAAATAGCAATGAGAAAGAAATTACAAATATTATTTGAAAATTAAAATTTTCAAAACATTAAAAAAGACTACAATGAAGAATTTCAAGTTCCAGTTCAGAACTCTAATTGTACTCAGGAAAGGATAATTCCTTGGGTCTGAGACAATGACAAGAGAGATTTTTCTTTTCAATTTCTATTCTTTCTCAAATAAAATGTTCATTCATTCATTCTTTAATCCAACAAATATCTGTTGACTTCTATTCTGTCCTAGGCATTATTCTAGGTCTTGGGAATACAGCAGTAAATGAGATATACAGAATACTGTTATAGTCCAAAGGAGGACGAGATTCAAGAGTGAAAAAGGAGAAAAGAAAGATAGTTCTAGCAGTGGCTTACTAGGTTATCTCAGACCAACCTTCCTGCTGAAAACAGGTAGGAAAGATGTTTATATATATTTTATATTCATACATACACACACATATACACACACAGCTTGGTACCTTGGTTCATGAACTTAATTTGTTCCATGATTTTGGAAAAGATGACCACATTTCTGTTTGTGTGGGAAAGATGGCCATGGTTGTATTTGTCACCCAAAGCCGAATTTGCAAACAAAACCAAAATTTTGCCAAATGCTTGTTTGTGAGCCAAACTGTTTGCAAAGAAAAGTGTTTGGGAACCATATAGGAAAGAAAACATGATTTGAAGGCATCAGAACACTATCAGGCTGGTTAGACAAGTTATAAGAGGAGACGCAAGCACCTGAAGTAATTTTTTTCACTATCTGAAAGCAAAAGCAATGGTTGAGAGGGTTGAGAAACTTCTGAGGAAACTTCTGACAATCTTCATAGGCACAGAGGGCCAAAGATTAGAGCAAGGAGGAGTTTTGGTGGGTAACCCAGAATTTGAGTTGGACTCCGGAAGGTCACCTCCAAGGATGAAGACTGAACAGGACACAGATCATGATCAGACTAAAGACCAGCTTTGAAATCAACTCAATCCCTGACAAGAACAAATCAATCAACATCTAGTCTGCCATTCACCAGCAAAAGGAAGTCCTGTTTGCTCTAAAATAGCATTCTACAGAGTATAAAATTATTTCTACAAAAGTTCAATAATATATTCAACCATCATCCAAAGATAATCATGAACAATTAAAAAATGAAGGAAAAATTCATTTACACTATTATCAAAAGGTCACAAGGACAATGTATCACAAAGTGTGCAAAACTTTTATACTAAAACTATAAAATATCACTGAGATAAATTTAAAAAGATCTCATGGACTGAGTTTGAACCCTGGTACAAAAAAAAAAAAAAAGATCTAATGGAGAGCAAAACTGTGCTCTTGTACTTGAACACTCAATACAACCTTGATCAAGTTATTTTAGTAGCAATTCATGGACTGATTCTAAAAATGTATATGGCAATTCAAAGGACCCATAATAGCCCAAACAACTATCAAATAGAAGAAAAAATTTGAAGGCATGATTTTAAGCATCCGCATTGTATGTCACTGACTAGAAAGCAAGAGTCATCAATATAATGTGATATTGACAAGGAATAGTCATATAGGTCACTAGAACTAGATGGAGAGTCCACACAGACACACAGACACACACACACACACACACACACACACACACACACAATTGCTTTTCAGCAAAGTTTAAAGTAATTCACTGAGGAAGATGATGAAACACCTGGCTGTTTATAGATCTGAATGAACCTTGACATTTACAGAGAATTAGAAGCAATGAAAAGATCATTTAAGAGCTACTGGACAACTGTAAAAAAACAAATTTAAGACTCATTGGCTTAAAGCAGTGTGAAAAGCTACAAGGCCAACAGTACAGAAAACCTATTCACCAAAATTAAAGCAGCAAACTTTCCAAAACTGGACAATGAGGTAGACACCCTGGCATTGGAGGCATTTGAAACTCTAAATAAGTATAAACAGAAAAGAGCCTCTACACAACATAATACAGTTCAGTTCCCAAAAATTCAGATGAATGAAAGAATATTAAAAACAGAGAGAAACACCAAATCACTTGTTATTCTGATGGCACACCCCTGAGAACAATATAAGATCTCTCAACAGAAATTCTAAAGGCCAGGAAAGCTTGGAATGATGTAATTCAAGATCTGAAAGAAAATAATTGCCCAATTAAGTGAACATATTCTTTGAATCTATCTTTCAATATTGAAGGAGAAATAAAGGTTTGCCAAATAAGTTTAAAGTGAAAAAACTCATGACCACTAGGCTAGCATTGTACAAAACACTTAGCATAATGCTTAACAGTGAGGAAGAGGCCAATCACAGCCACAACACTGGCAAAGAAAAATCACATTGGAAAAGAAAATGAATGAAAATTAAGTAGTGAATCAAACACTAGAAAAACAACAAAATGTCAGAAACTTCTACAAACATTTCAATAGTAAATCAATGTAAATGGTCATAATTCTCCAATTAAAGGACATAGACTGGCAAATTGAATTAAAAAAAAAAAAGGACCCAACTATATGTTTACTGCAAGAAACATATCTGTTGCAAAGCTGTACACAGATCAAAAAAAAAAAGCAAGCAGGAGCAACTATACTCATATCGCTCCAAAAGTACACTTCAAAGTACAATTAGCCAGAAAGACAAAGCAGGCCACTACATACTGATAAATGGAACAGTTCACCAAGAAGTAAAAATCATATTCTCATATTTTTTCATTTCCCGTCTTTCCTTTCCCCTAACCCTCCCACTTCCCCTATCCCTTTGGATCTTTTCTTCCTATTTCACATTATGAATTATTCATTTTAATCCTTATTTACATTTTCAGTTTTTCATATCAGAGAAACTATTCAGTATTTACACTTGTGTACTATTTATTACACTGAAGAGTATGTCCTCAATGTGCATCCATTTAGCTGTGTCTCTAATTTCTTATTATTTTGGCTGAGCAGTACTCCATTTTATAATATGAGAAAAGAAAAAAATGGAAACAAAGTCTCTGTAAATAGGGAGGAGTGAAGGGGTTGAAGGGAGGGCAGGGGAATGGGGAAAAAAATAAGAACCAAGATACATCATGTAAAGGTACAAGTTTCCAATGATGGATGTAAATGTATTGTATACTTAAAATGTACCAAAGAATTTAAGAGAAAAAAAAAATAACAAGACAGATATTTCACAAACAGGAAGGGGACCAAAGATGGAGGGTGGGAAAGGGAAAGAGAAGCAAAAAGAATTGAGTTGTATTATATACATGTATCCACTCCCCATGATGAATGTAATCATTTAGCACTGAAAAAATGTACTAATAAATTTTTTAAAAAGAAATAACAATTGTAAATAAACATGTACTGAATGTTGACACACCCAATTACTTAACAGAAATACTACTTGACAAAAAGGGTCAGAGAAACCCCAATACAATCATGGTGAGGAATTTCAATACCCCATTCTTACAAATAGATGTGTCAACCAGACCACTCCCCCACAAAAAATCAAGAGCTAAATAAACTGGAGTACAGATTAAATGAACTTAACAGACATGTACAGAGTATTCCATCCAACAACAGCATAATACACATTCTTTTCAGCAACACACAGAAATTGTTTGAAATAGATCATATTTTAGCCATAAAACAAATAAACCTAGAAATGAGTAGAGACTTTAAGAGTAAAGACCAAACACCTGCTGAGAAAGAAATCAAAAAAACAATTTCATTCACAGCATCTTAAAAAACACACAAACAAAAAATAAAACACAGGAATCAATTTAACCAAGAAGACAAAAGTCCTCTATAAGGAAAATTTCAGAATGGCAAAGAAATAAATTGAATAAGACAGGAAAATGAAGAGATCTCCAACTGTTTATGCATCAGGAAAATATTGTTTAAATTACCATAATACCAAAAGCTATGGATTTTTTTAATCTATCCAAATACTAAAAACAGCCTTCACAGAAAGTTCACATGGATGCACAAAGGACCCAGAATAGCCAAAGAATCCCTGAGCAAAAACACCAAAGCAGGGGATATCACCTGCTTTCAAATTATACTACAAAGCCATAGCAAAACAGTGTGGTACTGCCAAAAAAACAGACATGTAGACCAGTGAAATAGAAGACACAGACTAACTCATCTCCTCAGCCATCTGATTATTGACAGATGGGTAAAAACACACCAGAGAAAAGACAGTCTTTTAAACAAATGGCGCTGAAAATATTGGATATCTGCACAGAGAAGACTGTAATTAGATTCCTCTTGCCCTGTAGTAAAATAAAATGAAAACAGATCAAAGACCTAGGTTTACGACCAAAACTTTTGAAAGTGCTGGAAACACTTAGGAAAACACTTGAAGCCAGAAGCATAAGCCAAGACTTCCTGAGTAGGTCCCCAATAGTACAGGCAATTTATAGTCAGAAATCAATAAATGGGATTATATAAAATTAAAAAGTTTCTGCACAGCAAAGGCACCAACAGAATGAAGAGACAACCTACAGAATGGGAGAAAATCTTTGTGAGTTAGTGTTGTGATAGAAGATTAGTATCTTAAATATATAAAGAACTCAAAAACATCAAAAGAACAAAAAGTTCAATCAAGAAATGGGCAAATAAACTGAACAGAGAATTCTCCAAAGTACAAATGACTAATAAATATATGTA